GACAGACAGACAGACAGACAGACAGGAGGGGGGGGGTAGGTAAAGAAGAAAATGCGGTGCATGTGTAAATTACGTACGTGTGTAAATGAAGGTGCATGTGCGGGTGCATTTTGTGCGTGTTTATGGATGTGTGTACCATGTTTGTGCATGTGTATGGACGTGTGTATTGTTTTTGCGTGTATTCATGTTGTGCGTGCGCATGCGCGTGTGTATCATGTTTGTGCGTGTTTATGGATAAATAAATATATATATATCGTGTTTGTGCGTGTTAATGGATGTGTGTATCATGTTTGTGCGTGTGTATGCATGTTGTTCGTGTGTATGCATGTTGTGTGTTATGTTTGTGAGTGTGTATTCATATTGTGGGGGCGTATGCGTGTGTGTATTATGTTTGTGTTTGTGTATACCGCTACGATCGTGTCTAAAACCGACTCCGGGGGGCGTTGTTAACTGAGGATTGGATCGTCGATGCGACCGGAATATTTCAAAGTACATATTGATTATATAATTAGCTTACTTTACACAGGCACGCTTCCTCTTTGTTGTTGTTGTTGTTGTTGTTGTTGTTGTTGCAGGTGTTTGGAAGACGCCACTGGTAGACCCTGCATCTTTATTTTCCCTCTTTTGTTTGTCTGTCTGTCTGTCTGTCTGTCTGTCTGTCTGTCTGTCTGTCTGTCTGTCTGTCTGTCTTATTTTTTCAAGCTGTAAATCACTAAATGACCATTATTGTGTCATTGTGCTTCTCTTTAACTTAATCAAACAAACAGATTAACAAACAAAGAAATAAATAAACAAAGTTTTTGTTGTTGTTGGTGTTGTTGTTGTTAGTATGTGTCCAAAACAGCACGTTATTATTAGTTGAGGACTGGAACATCGATGCGACCGATTGCAAAATATTGATCATATAATTAGCTCATCTCACACTGGCACGCTTCTACTTTGCTGTTGCTGTTGTTGTTGTTGTCTGTATGTGTCCGGAAACTATAACCCTGGGGACTTTGCTGGCCGAGGGTTGGATCATCGATGCGACCGAAATATTTTAAAGCATTGATTATGATATAATTATTATTAACCTACCTCACGCTCGCACGTTTCATTTTCTGTTGATGTTGTTGTTGGTGTTGTTGTTGTTGTTGGTGTTGTTGTTGTTGTTGGTGTTGTTGTTGTTGTTGGTGGTGGTGCTGCTGCTGCTCCTGTTGTTGTTGGTGTAGCTGTTAGGTGCTTCGCTATCGCACGCAGGAGGCCTGAGTTTGTATATATGTGTTTTTACAAAGAGAGATATATATATGCAATGGTTGTAGTCTATTAAATGTCTCCGTTCATATATCCACCATACCAGTACAGCAACTGAGTGCAGGTTTCATTTTTTTCTTTTTTCTTTTTCTTTCTGTCGTGTTGCTTTTTTTTGTCATGGACTTTGGCCATTATAATGGTTCATGAGTAAGAGCCAAAATAGCCCCTATCGTATGCGAACATCTGAGACTTTTACTGATTTACGTGGAAAGATCGAGAAGAAATATGCTGATTTATTCAACTTAGTAATACCAGTTGTCTGTCTGTCTGTCTGTCTGTCTGTCTGTCTGTCTGTCTGTCTGTCTGTCTGT